CAGTGTCCCTTCTCTGAATTTAAACCTCCTACTTGTTCTTTCACTTGCTTTTGTATGTCTGTCTGTGTGTCTGTCTCAGGGGCTGACGGGTGGAGGATTCTACTGGTAACCCTTTTGGTAACAAATAGGAAGATAGAGATGTTTCACTGATTATTTATTTATTTTTTTTTTTCTCCGCCAGTTGATCTCCAGACTTTCTACCAGGTGTTTTTTGAAATAAGAAAGTGTTGCTAATTTTCCTTGCTATTCTCCTGATTGCCTGCTTTGTTCCTGTTTGTTGAATGGTGAAGTAAATAAGCATGCTGTGCTTATGAGTCATCTGTATTGCAGACACTGTGGGGGTTCGTTTTAACTTCTTAAACACCTTAGCTGCTTTGGTCTCGATATTGATTTTCATGTGACATTTAATAATGCCAAGAATAAACAAGCCACGGCGGTGAATAGCCTGACACACATCTCTAACACTAAAAAGTGAAAGGTTTGACAACTGCCATTGGTATGCGTTTATTTTAGTGAAAAGTAGATAACCCATCGCATTGTTCCAGGAGGCTCCATCGCTGTCTTTTGGTGATAATGCAGTAGAAAGAAGGAGCGTTCTTCATCCACCCCAGTGTTCCTGGGAAGGATTGGTAAGAGGAGCTATTTTGGGCACCTCTGGTTCCAGATCTAAAAGTCCCATTAATTCTCTCAATAGATGTTCAGTGAGTCACAGTTGGAGGACTTCCATGTGCATGAAACTCGCCCAGCTGAATCATCAGTACAAAAGATTAACAATTGCGCTAAAATGTATCTAGTTCTTTGATAAAAAAAAACACACATAGTACATAAAACATATGGTGAGAAATTAAGTACAACTCCCAGAGTGCCATATAAAACATCCACATGATTATTTTGTTTTGTGTGCCACTATCAGAGGGCAGTAATTAAAGGTTTTTGCACTTGGGAAAACAATAAAATGACACATTTAAATCCATTTCAGCTTAAATCCTGTCATTTTTGGATTCTGGGTCAATTTTGGATGACGTTTTCTAACAGTGGCATGGTGTTTGGTTCACAACTTCAAAGTCAAAGCATTTTGAATCTGCTACCGCTTTTATTTGCCCCTCGACTGGCTTTTTTTTTTCCATGTCAATAGTAGTCGAGGCTCATGGGTATTGTAGTATTCAGATCCATCTACCATGCCAAACTGACTCTCAGAAACTAAGTTGAAATTATTAAAACTAGTGGCTATAACATAAACTTATAGGATCGTTACTGTTTTCAGGATACCTGTATATGTGTTTCTATCTTGAGCAACATTGAAAAATATTTGAATGGGAAAAAGTATCAGCAGCTATGTTCACTTCACAACTATATTGCTGTGTTTTTGGATACTACCACTGGGTGCACCAAAGTTGGAAATGTTCAAATCTTACACATACTGGCTTAAACGTGCAAAATCAATTGTGTGGGTTTTTAATTTCCCTAGTCCCTTGCATACACTGGCTCCATGATCCTCTGTAGTCTAACTGTTGCCTCTTTTTGGTACAGGTGCGAGGACCCTCTCCTGCTCTTCCTCTTCCTCATC